TCAATTTCATTCAGTTTTGAGCAAGTTATGATTGCTTTTGCAAATCTGCCTAAACTAGGTTCAAGTTGCCCAAGTTTTTGCCTTTCCTTGCCTATTTTAACACCCAATTTTCCAAGGTGCATAACTTCTTCGAATTTTATCATTTTGGTGCCACTCTTTTTGAAACATTCTCCTTGATATGTCTAGTTTCAATGTGTGAAGAAAGAATTCAAGAGTTGTTATTTTTGAAACACTTTGGTCCACTTGAAAGACATGACCTTTTTTTAGGGTTTTTACTTGTTTTCATGAGTTTCTTTGACTTAGTACTTGAGTTTTCTTGTATGATTGATCTTGCATGAATCACTTTTCGATTTTTAACATGTTTATGTGTTTGGAAACATTTGGTTATTTTCTTTGCATTGCTTATTCTTGCCTTTGTAAATGTATGAATATGAAAACCATGCCTTGAAACTTTTTGTTGATTTGTAACATACTTCTTGATGTTGTAACCTCTTAAACATGATCCCCTAAACTTATATTACTTGCTTATGTGTCTTTTTAGAATCATAACATGTTTAGGGTTTGATCTTTGCCTTTGTAAATGCATGAATGTGAATGCATGACTTGGAACTTCTCTGTGAATCCTTGTATGTTTCTTGATGTTGTAACCTCATGAATATAATCCTCAACACCCCTTACCTTACCTTACTTATTTATGTGTCTTTTTAGAACCATAACATGTTTAGGATTGATTCTTTATTTGAAACATACTATGAATCCGGTTCACCTTCCCTTATGTGAATTTTGAACCCATGCTTGAACTGTTCCTGCTTATCCATGATTGATTGTCATCAATATGCCTTGAAAATGATTAAATATTGTTACACTTATATTTTTTTGGATTAATATACCATATTTAACTCATGTTCTAACTTGTATGATTGAGTTTTTTTTTTTGTTTACCATTGATGAACTTGTTGTTGTTATACATGTTTCATGATTGGCCTTATTGGTTGTTACCTTCATAAATCTTTGAACATTGTCATGATAAAGCTTTCTTGGTTGTTACCATGTTATTCATATCTTCATCATGTTTGAATGAATGCTTATGTGTGCTTTAACTTTGTTAAGTTTTCCCCAAGGGATGGAACTTGTTAGTTCTCATTCAGTTGCCTTGTTGTCCCTTATTCCAAAGGAAAGCCTCTTTATTGACTTCACAGTCATAGATAGCTCATTACCCCTCCCCTTGACTTGGTTAAGTCATTAGGTCCTTTAGCTTAGCTAAGTTAGAACCTATATCCGTTAGACTCTGCTTTAAGTCTAAAGACCTACCCCTTGTTAGGAGTATCCTTCAATTAGAATTTTAAGATAGAGTTTGTTAACTCTATGTAAGGATCATTGTCATGATTATTTACTCCCTCTTGGCTTTTGTCAAAGTCAATCCCTTTGAGTATTGAACTTAGCTCTAGAGAGTTTTTTTTAAACTCTACACAAACATTGTTATGTTTGTTCCCCCTTGGAGCCTTGACCATAGTCAAGTGTGCCTCATCCCTTTTAGGATAACTATGGTTGCTTTGATTCCATCCTAGTAAGGATACATAGGCATAAGTTGCGATATCTTTGCGAGCAAACTTAGATCTATCCTTAGGTTTTTACCTAACCCTGATCCCAAAACCATAGAAAACAACTTAGATAACCTAGCATATATACACACAAGAGGTTCCTATAGAGTACTACATATGTCTAGGATGTGAAATACCTATCATATGCATAACCAACCTCCGATCCCTGAATCTTTAGCGTTGTCGTTACATCGCGCAAAAGGTTTTTTCTTTCTTTAACCTTTCCTTTGGATAAATAAAAGCTCGGTGGTGAATTTCAATGAATTAAGATTCAAGTTAATCAATAGGTTGATATCCGATTCTCACTGCAACACAAACCCAATAAGAGATCAAAGCTCTTATTTATTTCCCTTTAGGGTTTGTGTTTCTCTCTCTAAAATATGCTTTGAAATGAAGAGAGATAAAGTTTTGCTCCTCAAAATATATGTAATCAAAAAGTTATTATCTAAAAAGCAAGAGAAAGTACTTATATAGTAAAACAAAAACCTGTCTTGTTCGCCTTGCAAACACTTTCTTTGCATTGCGAAGACCACTTTTGGGCACTTTAAGTGCCTTAGAAACAGTTAAACTGCCCTTGGAAATATCTAAGTTCGCAGTGCAAACTCATTCTTTATAGTGCGAACTTCTTCGCTACAGCTTCGCACAACGAACTTTGGGTCCTCTTCCCACTGCCTCTAATCTGAGATGGTTCGTTGGGGGCTTCGCTAGGAGCCCTCACAATGATCATTTGCTTTGACCTCGCTAGTGTTTGCACATCAAACATACTAATTCCTATTCATTTCTTTGGCTTTCTTGTCCAATCCTTTGTGTCTTAATCATTAATGTTTTATGCCTATATCCTGCACAATAACACACACATCAAAGAATCCAAAGGTATTTGCAATATAATTGAAGAATCACATAAGAACATGAAATGAATTCATTAAAACATGAGAAATGAGTTGAAAAATACCAAGAAATATGGTTCAATTTAAGTCATAATTTGCACTTAACAACACCCCACAAAAGTCTCAGTCTGCTCAGACTCCATATATGCAAATGCGACATCAAAAGTCAACTCGGTAGATGTCATGCCAATAATTTTAAACAGAGGTTGCCTATTTGTTTGTCTTGTAGGTGTTGTCCATAACTAACACAATAGGAAAAATATTCAACAAATTAACTGAATCTTGATGGGCCCATAATATATCTCTAATAACTTCCGAGTCATCTCTTTTTCTACTCCAATAAACATAACTTGCGTCCTCAATAAGGTTAAACAAATGTTGATCTGAGTGACATTCTCTAGATATCGCTCTTTCAAGGAAAGTAATATGTGTCTAGGTGGAACATGTCTCTTTATCAAATCAACAACATGCTGCTTCTGATGCTGCTAATAACAGTTACTTTATTTCAAATTCCAACCTCTTTAATCTACCTTATCACCTTTTCTCGTGTACCAAATCTTTGAGTAGTTGAAAAAAAATCAAAAGTATCTACACATATTTTTGGAGGAATTTCTATACCTGCAGTATAAAAAAATAAAAAAAAAATTTAAAAAGCAAACCGGAAGTCTTATTGAAAGAGTTCATGTGTGTAAAATCAAGTAAACTGGACATCTTTCTAAATGTGTTTCGGTACACAAAAACAACAAACCAGTTAACTTCTAAAAAGTGTTCTGGTACAGTTGCGTTCCAATACTGGAACTCTTTTGGTTAGACTTTCGGTACAGGTTTTGTGACAAATCGAAACTCTCTGGCCAAGTCTTCCGATAGAGATGAATAACATACCAAAAGTCATGATTGTAGTCTTTCGATGTGATTTTGATTGAGTCCAATTTTCAGAAGTCTGACATGAGTAGTAAAAAGTAAAAAATAAAATGATAAAAAATAAATAAGGGCAAAATTGACATTTTAAAAAAAATGTAGGGGTGACGGTATAACTGTAGAGATTTTAAGTAGAATTTTTAGTAAATCATAGTCAAATTGTGAGCTTCTTTTGTTCTTCTTTCTGTTGATGTGCATGAATCTAATTTGCTGAAAGTATCTCTTCAGTTCCATGTATCCTTACACTGCATGCCAGTGGTATTCTGCAGAACCTCTTGATCTGGCATGTTCATGATGTCTATAACTTGTTTATTGTCAGATTGAAAATTAATCTTAATTTGTCCTTCCACAGCTCGTGACGTGCTCTTCGATCTTATTATCCTTATCATCGAAGATAGAAACATCAATACCCTAATATTCCTGTTCTACTAGACAAGCATCTGAATTGATCGTAATTATATATTATATATTAGAAGATTTTTTAAAAGAGTTTTGATAATTTTTTAATTATTTTTTTAACTTTTAATAAATTATTATATAAAGATATTTTAATTAAAAAAATATAATATAAAAATAAGGAAATAAATGATAAGATATGGAATAAAACTTTCATATTGTTGTCTATGTATGATAGTAGTGTTGTCTCAAGTTTTTAAAAGTTGATGGTTTAATTGCATAATAAATAAAAAACTTATTTAACCACTAAATTGTGATAAAATAATTTGTGAGATCCTACATAATTATAGTTTAATATAGTAAATTTGTCCTTAGTTCTCAAAAACAACTGCACTAAAAATAAAATTGATGACCTTAGTTCTCTCGTTGGATATTCCACCTGATTGATAATCATAAAGAAACATGCAAAGATATATTCTTTTCTAGTTTGTACTGTTAATTAGGTATTTTAGAAAATCTAAACACCATTTTTTATAGATATTTCTTGGACTGGCGTACATTTGAGAATCTTATTAAAAAGCTGAAACTTTTTTGTTTTTTTGTTGATTTTAAGTCAACAACGCATCATTAACATATCAAAGAAAAAAACACCAAAATCATACTCTCAGACAAGACAAATTCAAATTCTTAATCCACTGTTAGTTAATTCAGAGGATATGGTTCTAAATTATTTTGAGAAAGTGCATGGATTCTTCATTATTCTATTTAAAAATTATATTCAAATCAAAAAATACATTTTCTTCACCATTTATAAGATTTTTTAAACCAATTATAAAATTATATACGACTGGTTCAGATTTTTAATAAGATTCAAAAACGTCACTTGGGTTTTTAACGTAACTTGGAAATTATTATTTTTTGCAACGTAAACACCAGTAGCCATTATTGACTATTATTTGAAAGATAAAAAAGTAAACTATAATAATATTAATATAACCAATTTCATCGAGGACCGTTTCAGATAGATAACATTTATTATTAATAATATATATACACTTTGCTTTCACATGATCAAATATACATGACTCATCTATTATTATATAATGCATGTGAAATGGCCAATGTTAAAACGCATTTGCATACTTAATCAAGACAATTATTGCTTAAGCAAAAAAGCAAAAGTACTCAAAAACATAGAATGGATGTAGCACAAGTTCTACACATGAATGGAGACGTCGAAGAAGCAAGCTATGCAAACAACTCCTTACTTCAGAGAGAGGCGATTTCTTTGGCAACATCTTTGAGAATTAAAGCTATAACTAATCTATATTATAGCTTGTGCCCTAAAAGTTTTGCAATTGCAGACTTGGGTTGCTCTTCGGGACCAAACTCTTTATTGGTGACCTCAGAAATTATTAAGGTCGTTGAAAAACTTTGTCAACAATTGAATCATGAATCTCCAGAATATGAGATTTTTTTGAATGATTTATCGGGAAATGACTTTAACAGTATATTCAAATCTCTTGAAGATTTCAAAGAAAAACTACACGATGAAATAGAAACTGATATAGGTTCTTGCTACATCTTTGGTGTTCCCGGATCCTTTTATGGTAGAATTTTTTCTAACTCGAGTTTGCATTTTATCCATTCTTCGTATAGTCTTCATTGGCTATCTAAGGTTTGTTTATGTTATTATCTCTCTTGACTTTCTAGGATACTACTTAATCAACTTTTCACAACACTCCAATATAATTATTTTTGTTTACGTGTTTAAATAGGTTCCTATAGGTGTAGAAAATAATAAAGGCAACATTTACCTTTCGGCGACAAGTCCATCAAATGTTCTCAAGGCTTATTACGAACAATTTCATATAGATTTCTCTCTTTTTCTCAAGTGTCGTGCTCAAGAATTAGTTGAAGGGGGTTGCATGATTCTAACACTTATAATTGAAGGGTCTTCTTACGGATGGGAACTTTTGGCTAAATCTATTAATGATATGGTCGTGCAGGTAAACTATATATATCTCGATCCGCTATAAACATTCAACGCATTTGTTTGACAATGTTAATATGAATTATGCAATTTCTGTTGTAGGGAATCATTGAAGAAGAGAAACTCAATACTTTTAACCTGCCAAACTATTTTCCATCTCCATCTGAAGTAAAATTGGAAGTTGAAAATGAAGGATCATTTTCAATCAATGAATTGGAGGTTTCAGAAGTAAATTGGCATAATGTTCCTGATATGGCTGAAACAGTAGTAAAAAGCACAAGGGCTATAATTGAACCTTTGTTAATTAGTCATTTTGGTGAAGGTGTCACTAAAGACATATTTGAGCATTTTAGGAAAACATTAACAAGTGGAATATCCAAAGAGAGAGCTAAGATGACAAATCTTACCATAACATTGACTAGAAAACCATGAGCAAATCATTTTGTTTGTGAGTAATATTTGCTAAATGATTTTCAAAAGAGTTATTTGGAAGTTGTCGAATGTTTATATTTTCTCTGATAAGATTATGTGTAATAAGCAACAGGTTGATGCAATTTGGTCATTGTCATGGAACTGATTTATGGTTAAAACCTCATGTTTTTTTATAGATATTTTTATTGAGTGGAAAAAATTATAAATTCTGTCTGAATATATATATATATATATATATATATATATATATATATATATATATATATATATATATATATATATATATATATATATATATATATATATATATATATATATATATATATATATATATATATATATATATATATATATATATATATATATATATATATATATATATATATATATATATATATATATATATATATATATATATATATATATATATATATATATATATATATAGGGTAACCAAAACTCAATACAAAGAAAATTAAGAATCAAACAACAAGAGTAAAGATAAATATTATCATTATTTAATTAAGTATTAGTAAAGTTCTCCTTTTTAAGAGTATGAAATAGTTGAGCTCGTTATTCTCTAGAGAAAAACTTTTTAATGTTGTGAAAAATCACATCATAGTGATGACAAATATTAACATACTCTAAGATAAGCTTGATAGCAGAATGAGAGTCAGAATTGCACATCAGGTCTTTGATGACAAGTTCTCAGGCCATCCACAATCCATGACAGAGCACCATCAGCTCAGCATGAAAGATGTTGGAATAACCAATATTACCCGCGAAACCGTGAACTTAGGCACCATCAGCATTTCAAATTAATCCACTAAAATCCAAGACATCAGGATTAATGAGGCTACTTGATCTTACCCGATCAGAAAGGAATCAGTAGTCTGCCACGCGTCGTGAGTTGCTGCCTTCATCGGTGTTACGGAGAAGAAAAAAGGGGTGTACCTGCAAGATGCTCTGATGCTTAAGTAAGTATCGGAACTAGAGAGAGAGAGAGAGAGAGAGAGAGAGAGAGAGAGAGAGAGAGAGAGAGAGAGAGAGAGAGAGAGAGAGAGAGAGCAATTACAGAGAGAAGGTGTAGAATAGAATACCTGACCCTCTAGTGAAAGAGGGTATTTATAATGTGCCTCCATCGTATGGCCAACGGTTACTTTGCATAGGGGTCGGATTGTCAAACCCAACACAAGTAACTGCCAGGGCTTACATGGCGTAGTGAAGACCAGCATGTGGTCTTCGCTCTGGATCAACTGCCTCGTGATCTTCGAAAGATGGGCTGGCCATCTCTTTCGGAAGCGAGAACGTGAGGGAAGTGCGTGGGCTTCCCCGTCAAGAGATTCTTCTGCCCGACGAATGTGCCTTGTTGAGGCTTGTGCTCGACATACAAAATTGGGCCTTGTTGGGCCTCATCAGTATAGCCTTGGGTTGGGCCTGCCCGACTGAGTGGAAGGTCTCGGCCTAGTCCAAAATAGGAGCCCCCCAAGTCATTGCTCCTAGGTGGAGGAGTAATGACTTAAGGGCAGGTCGAAATGTCGAGGATCCCTTCGGGAGATGGTATTTTTCCAACGCATAGAATGGGAGTCGTGTATCAGGTCGGGAGCGGAGGATGCTTGACGAGACAGCGTGTCAGAGAGGGGGGGATAGTGTGAAGGATGTGCTCACTCTCCGACGGGGAGACAGATTAATTGCAGAGCTTCTGGTGCTGCCACGTGTCAGACAACCATTGCTTAGTTAGGGCGGCTAGGGGTAGGGGTGTTTGAGTGCCTAGGGGTGCCTCGAGTCCCATGCTAGGCTATAGGACCGAGTCTGCTTCATTTCTCACTTTTCACTTTTACCGCTCACGATGTCGTTTCTCTTCTCGTTTGCCTCTTCACATTCTGCACCGCGACGTCCACCGTCCGCCGCCGTACTATCCGTCGCGTCACCTACCTTGAACTGTTGTATCAAGTAAGTCTTGCATGCTTTTTATTCTGTTTTTCTTACTTTCCGACGGTCCCATAGTGGACTTGATGAATGTTCCGAGGAGACCGTGGAGTTTCCGGCGAATACGTCGGGGCTCCCTTGCATAAAAGTAGGGTTAGATTGAAGCTGCCAGGGACAATCGATGAAGACCTTGGGGACAGAGAATGATTTTGCATGAATCCTCTAGGGACAAACGATGAATTCCCCAGGCACGTAGGATAGTTTTTGGTGAATCCCATGGGGATAAACGATGAAGTCCCCGGGGAGGTATGATAGTTTGGATGAATCCTACGAAAATAACCGAGGAAGCCCCTGGGGAGGTATGATAGTTTGCCTGAACTTCCCGGGGACAAGCAGTGAGGTCCCCGCCGGGGACGTTGGACAGTTTCGTATGACTTCTCGGGGATAAATGCTTGAAGTCTCAGGGGTCCGCTCTTGTCTGTCGAGGAGAGAGAGGCCATGTCCGTAGGAGGGTCTCCACTCTTCGCCCTTTCACTTGATCTGTGGTGGAAGGGTGAATTTGATTTTGAATGTTGAATTCACCATTTTCCGCTGCTTTTCAGGTGTAAATAGCTGCTTGGGTCCAAGAAATTATTGAAACTGACGACGAGCCAGACTCCCCAGTGGCGCATGCCGACGAATAGCGCAAAAGATCTGCTGCAAATTGGGTCGGGGAGGAGCCCCTGAGCATCTCCTCTCGCTTCGTTGTGGATGAGTCTGACGCTTATGCCAACGTTGAGGACCGTCTCGAGGGTTCCCTTTTAAACTGGCAGGTGTACAAAGCGTGAGCAAACCACAGAATATGCTCGGCGTATAAGGGGATGAGGTTTCCTATGTACGAGTTTACCTTCCAGGAGGCGGGATTGGGCCTGCCCTTCACTGACTTCCAGTTAAGGGTTTTTGATTGGCATCGGCAGTCGCCCTCGCAACTACATCCCAATGCAATTGTATTTGTGCGGGCGTACGAGCTCGTCTGTCAACATCTTAATATCAGAGCCACTCTCACCCTCTTCTTCCATATCTTCCACCTCCATAGACAAACGCTCAATGTCCGACGCAACTGGGTGTCCTTGAAGCAACCGAGGAGGATCTTCCGGGCGTACATGGATTCCATCCGGGCTTTCAAGGATCGATATTACGTCGTCATTCCTGTCACGCATACGGATGTGGATTCACTTTTTAACCTCGAGGTCCGAGAAAGGGACGGGAAGTCTGAGGAGGTCTTGGTGCTGAAGATTTCGTTGGTTTGGACGGATAGCTATATAGTGCGGGCAGGCTCGGTGGACGCTGATGACCGGGCGGCTTACCAGAATCTGGTCACTTTTGTGGCTAGTTTCACCCATGTGAAGTGTGTGATGCCAGATGGGAACTTTATCCTCGATTCACACGGGGAGATTCTTACAGATTCATGCTTGATTAATACGAGGGCCCTCCTCGAGTGTTCGTCTGATGAGGAAGCCTTATGCCTCTTACGTAGTGGGTCCGCTTTTCACTTGGACCTTGTCTGCGTGTTCGTTGTTGGTTTGTTTTGCTGACTCTATTTATTTTTCTTTTGCAGGAAAGTTGTCGAGCATGCACGAACGTTTGAAGAGGTTGGCAGCCAGCAAGGACGTGAAGAAGTCTGGAAAGGGGAGGGTTTCCCAGGTGCAGTAGATGCCTGGTCCCGACCAACAACATGGTGGCTCATCTTCTTCCCCCCAGGGCAGCCAGTCCCCCTCCTCGCAAGGGACTCTAAAAAGACCGCGGGTCGGCGAGCAAGACACCATCGACCTCACCGAAGGTAGTGCCGAGGAGAGGTTCGTGCTCCCATCTTGTCATCTGCAACCCACATTCTTGTGTGGGGCCAACTCTCAAGTGGTGGATGCCGCGGAGACAAAAGCCATCTTAGGTGCTGATCGGCAGACGAGAAAGAAGGTTCTGGCGGAGGACCTGGCCGTAGTGATTCGGGTCTTCGAGAAAGCTATGGTCCACAATGATGATGCTTGCTCTTCAGCCGACTTCTCCAAATTGCAGACTGACCTTGCGACCTTCAAGGCGGTGAGGAGTAAATTGGTTGCTGATTTCAATCAGGCGAAGGAAGATAGCAGTGCCCAGCATAAGCTCTACGGCGAGGTCAAGAAGCAGTTGAAGGCCGTGGGCAAAGAGAGGACAAGGCTCTTGGTGCGAATTGTCGAACTAGAGGCGGCTTCCCAGCCTACGGAGGACGAGACCGATGAGGAAAAGCTCATGGCATTCCAGGTGGCTCTGGTGCCGAGGATCCGTCAGCTCGAGTAGGATTGCTTAGGGACGCTCGAGGTGTGATACGACAGCACCGTGGAGCAGCTCTGGCTCGTGAACCCTGACGTGCCTTTCACCATCGAAGGGACGAGGCCCTTCCATCAAGTCGTCGAAGGTCGCGTGGTCGCGTCAGAAACCAAAGAGGAGGACGAGGGCCCAATCGAGGTTGGTGGCGAGAAAGAGGAAGCCTCTTAGTTTTGTCTGTTGCTTTTTTGGCCTATGTGCCTGTGTTATTTTCTTGGCCTGTGTGCCTACTTTGGATGTATCTGTTTCAGGCCTGCTTGGCCATTCTTGTAATTTTTTGACAATGGGCTTTGTCCACCATTTTGGATATATATCAACTTTACTTTTATACATTGCGTGTTTTATGTTTCTATGTTTGAATTATATTTCTTTTTATTTTCTTGCTCGACCTGTTTGATGACCGACTATGCGGGGAACTGGTCGGGTGATCGGAGTTGGTATCTGATCGGTCATGGGGCCAAGATTTCGGTTGAGGTTTTTTTCTAGGGCGTGAACCTTCCATCGTGAGCTGGGTGTTCTGCCCTAATGGTACGAAAGTTGTGGAGCTCGGTTGAGGGGTCCCTGCTGGATCAAGGGTCTTTCCCCCACACGAGAAGAGCTGACTCTTGTCTTTTTTGTTATAAACTTTAAGAGTCGCGTCTGTACCATGTCGCGATGCTAACGGCTCACGGGTAGTGTTTAATTGTAATATTGCTTGAGTTTTCCTGCGTTCCATGGTCGAGCAAGTTCTT